TTTCCACCTTAATCAATTTTTTGAATCTAGAATACACATCCTTTCTCAAGCATAATATTCTAAGCCTCAGTATTATCAACTCACAATCCTTGGGGAGATGTATTTGATAAACTGTCATAGAAAAAACATTATTTCTGGCACTCCAAAAGGAATTCAAATTCAGCCCTAGCCCTAGTTAGAGCTAGTACTAGTTTTTTGTATAGCTTAGCCAGCATCGCTTGTACAAAACAGCACAGATACAAAAGGAACCTAATATGCTGTTTGGCACATACCTATTCCAACCAACAGGACATGCGCAACACATCTAACACACAACCGACTTCCAACAGAAGTCAGAATTGCAACCCTAATTCCAAGTGCACTATAGTTGAATATAACCGACGCTTAACAAGTCTTACCTAAAGAAATAGCTGCCCTAATAGGTACCAGGCTTACGTATAAAAGATCCCACACAATATGTAAGTTATTGTGAAATGCAAAAGACAAAACCTACAATCTTAAAAGCCCCAGATGTTTAGTGTTCCAGTGAGGGACAACAGGTTCCAAAGTGATTTGGTGTACATTGGTTCCACTAAATGCTCAGTACAAAAAAAAGAGTATAGGAACACAAATACAACATTGTGAACGAAAGGCATACCACCACCCTATCCACCTACTCCATTTACCTCAAAGTGCAAGCCGACCTCCTTTAACACCAGGTTAATAAGAGCTCTGGAAGCCTTAGAAATATACAAGGCCGGCCTGACAGGCAAGCTCAAATTTTAAGGATGGTAGCACTGTATCGTATGCCTGGTGAAACTTGTACGATAAACCCGACGGTGCTGACACAAATTGACTTTTATTATTTGTTTTTAAGGCTTGTTCCTAATATAATTTGTGCATATATGTTGTATTTATATATATTTTTAATTCATGCACTTATATTTTTTGTAAGAGTTATGTATTCCAAATTGTTTAATTAATTTAAAAATATTTTTCAAAATGTTCGGTTCTATGCATTCCAATTTTGGAATTCCATTGGTTTGCAACCTAAAGCAGATCCTTGGTTAAGATCAAAAGCATTTGTTTAATATTTATTAAATGTTTTATTAGTGTTACTGGAGTTTAAAGGTTTTTTGGTGTTTGTCATTACTTCCAGTAAATGAGTAAGAAGATATCTTTAATTAAAACAGAAATGATGAAATGTGAAATTTTTGCTATAATCTACATTGGAAATAAGGGGCAAAGCTCCTAGTTATACAATATTTTCATTACTCATGTATGAATCATTTAACACAAAATTATTGTATTTAGTTATTATTAGAATCTTATGTTTAATATATTATCTTACTAAAGATAAAATATTCAGATCTTATTAGATTATTTTGTTTAGAAAATATCAAAGAGTACTGTAGCATTTATACTAATTGAATTTCAACTTGAGAGTGTTTTCTCTCTCTCTCAATCTGTTTTAACTCTAAATTAATTTGAATAAAAAATTATTCAAAATAAATTCCATACCTTAAAGATATGATTATTTACAGATAATTAGTCATTAATAATGAAATCACCAAATGATTATATTTATTTATATACGGAAAAACAAGAAAACATTTTAACGTACAAGTTTTGTGTTAAATTTTGAATAACCACTTAATGAACGTGCATTTTTGTTTCCAAATATCTTATGAGAGACCAATCCAGAGCCACAAAAAGTGATCGCAAGCTTGGAACTAGAACATTTCAGACTCTTCTATTACTTCAATACGAAACACTCAGCTTATCAGAAATCACTCAGCTTATCAGCTATAAAGTGCCAAAATTGTCACTTGGTGATATTTTTATTAAACTAGCAATAAAATTATAATACTGATGATAAAAACCCTATTCCACTTATTTCAAAATTGAATCGCAAGGCATGCTTCAGGAAAAACAGCAGAATGTTGAGCTTCGATGTGATAAAAGTCCCGTGCACCACACACCTAACCATGTCACAACATATGGCAAGTTCGGATAGGAAAGCAGTAAGTGACATTGAAACCGAAGACAGACAGTTTTCATGTAATGCCGCCCAGTGTTTCCAGATTACAGATTTTATTTATTGACTGACAGAAAATCTGGGAAATTTTTTGGAATGGTATATTTTTTCCATTTTAGTCTACTGAAAAAAAAATCAAAGCATAAAAATTTTGACATGATAGAACATGTGAAATGCTGTTTATTGTAATCAAGTATTTGAAATTATTCATTAAAAACGATCCCTATTTCTAAGTAACAACTTAATATGTTAAGGTTACCAGCACCTGCATTAATTAATATGTAAAACTGGTGGCAATAAATAATTTGAAGTGGGAAAAAAGTTTCGAAACTGGCGAAATGGTTAGTGACTTAAAATTTTCCAGAGTAACCTCTGGATTATTATATTTGTTTTTCTCTCTTTATGTATTTGAAACTAGATTTTAAAATGTTACTATACAGATTCCAACCCTGTCCCCAGAACTGCACCCACTACTTCCTATCCTCACATTAGTCACAAATCTATCGTATTCAATATTAAAATGGCAAAGAGATTAAACACTTTTCCTGTTAAAGGTAATAACTTTTATTTTTCATTTTTGACTCTCTCTGTCCTGTGAGCAACCAAAAGAGCTTTTTTCCTTACCAAATCCAAAATGAAGGCAGCCAAGTGACAAGGAATAGAACCCGACATATCCAGGACACATCATAAAGGAAGAATTTCTGGGGTTGTCCGCCCGGATTAAAACTTGGTTCCTTCAAGTTGATTGGCTCGCATCTTAACTATTTCAGCCATTCAACTATGGAGTTAAAACGGGCAAAATTTCAAGCAGGCTACTAATAAATTATAAACTTAAAACTATTTTAACAATTAATTCACATTACCTGGATTATTAAAAATTAAATTGAATAATTTTTCATTTTCTTGTTAGGAAAACATACATTTAACACACAGGAAATTATAAAGGAAAGTAGAGAGTAAAAAAAATAATAATAATAAAAAAAAATAATAGTAATTAACGACATTAAAGAATAATTTCTTTTTCCTTTACGACAAATGATAGACAAAATACAATTTTATTCATTCAAAAATTTTAAATTTCAAAATAGTAGTATTAGTGTAGTATTGTACTACTATGCTACTACATACAGAGCCGGTCCTACCATAGGGCGAAAGGAGCAGCCGCTCCAGGCGCTAAGTCCTAGGGGGCGCCTCAGTGGTAAAGAAAATTAAAGGGTATAAATTTGGGGCAACCAAGGGCAGTGGCGTAGTGAGGGGGTGCAATGGGGTGTATCAAGCACCGGATGCCACTCGCAGAGGGGCGCCCAAATGGTCTCCAAGACAAACTATGTGTTTCTGGAGGGGGCACCAATAAAGTGGCGTGCCCCGAGCGCCAGTTATGTTCGCTACGCTACTGACCAAAGGGGCGCCATAATAGGATCTCGCTCCATCCTAAAACTTGCCTCGGGCCGGCACTGACTACATAGTAGTAGCATAGTAGTATTGCATAGTAGTATTCTATTTTTAAATTCTATTAAATCAAAATACAGGTTATTAAATACAAAAATTGTTTATAAACTTTTAATTTATGAGAATTAATTGATCTTTTAAAGATTTCAATCGAATCTCTTCAATTCTCCTCCTTACACGGACTATCAATTCATATCGCGGGCAATTTAAACGCACGTATAAGGTTGAATCTTATTATAAATCTTACAAATTAATTCACAAAGTTAAAAAATAATTTTCATTTACTTAAAAACAAAATTTTAAAAACAATTTTAATGTATTAAAGTACTAAAAATTATTTAAATTCGATAGCAAAATTTAAGGATTTGAATTCCTTACCCGTCAAACTTAAATTGCATCAACTATAAACTATAAAACAGCAATAAAATGTTGGAGGAAGTATTCGAATCTTTAATTTCATTTATGATTGGAATTATATTGTAAATTTTGTGTATTAATTGACTATGGAAAATGTTAATTTCCTTTGATTCTTCATGTTAGAAGCAATTTAAATGTACATGCAAAGTTAGTATTAAATTTGAGAAATATCTGAATAAATTTTATTTATTTCAAGAAATAAAACCAATTTAAAAACAATTTCAACACATTCAAATACTAAAAATTATTAATTAAATTTGGTAGTAAAATTAAAGATTCAAACTCCTCATCTGTCAAAAATTGCATCAAATATAAACTATAAAATGTCAATAAAATGATGGAGGAAGAATTTAAATCCTCACTCCACTTATAAAATGGTATTAAGTGCAAAATATCAATTGTTTATTAAATTAATTTCCAAAAATTTTGATGATTTTGGCCCTTCCTATTATACAGGGTATTGATTCATGCTATAAGCAATTTAAAATGTATTTACTGTAAAAGATTTGATATTAAATTTGAAAAATAACTGAATAAATAATTTTTAAAACAACTTCAAGTGCCAAAATTTATTAAATTTTGAAAGCAAAATTAAGGATTTTAAATTCTTCATCTGTCAAACTTGATGAAGATGCATCACATTATAAACTATGAAATAGCAATTGCTGGAGGAAGACAAATCATTTATAAATGGCATTAAGTGCAAAAATAATGAATGTTTATTATATATAAAGGTTGTTTATCAAATTAATTTCACGAAAACTCGTTAATTTCTAAGAGTTTTGAATGAATTGTTTGGTCCTTCCTATTCTTATACATGTTATTGATTCGTCTTACATGCTGTTTACATGTGTGTGTAAGGCTCGATGGTGTTACACAGTTTATAAATGTATTGTTTTGTGATGGATTTGACAGTTAAATATTCCGACAAACGCATAAAGAATTAAATAAAATGTCGGATTTGTGCCTCGTGGTCGCCATTTTAGATCAACCAACGAAACCCTGTGAGAGGCTAGCAACATTTGTAAAAATCTCCCTTATTCTTCCGTTTCCGTTCCGTCAATATAATTAATATATCATTAGCAAACAAACAACATTTCAAAACACTTAAACGAACCTGAAAATATTCACGAGTTATCTTCTACTCATAAAATAATCTATTTCATCATTGACTACTCTCTACGTTTTCTCGTCGTATCTCAGAGCCTGATTAGTTGACAGCCGTCCGATCGTCCAATAGCGTGGCCGGAAAACAGCGCATATTACAAATTTGAATTTAAAAGTTATCCCTGCTCTCTCCGATTGGTGGAATTCGAACCAATTGTACCTTTTATATTGTGACGACGGCAAGATTAAAGATGGCGTCGAAAGTGAGGTAGGACGAGGTTGTATTTTATTATAAACTATTGTATTAGCCGAATTGTGTATTATGAATGAAATTTGTGGATCCTTCGACTTCTTTTTTTATTTTTCTCGGCAATTCGTCGTTTAATTTCGTACGGTAAGCGATTTAATGTTCCGGTGAAATGTACACATTTACAGGACGAAGAATATGGCGAATAGAGTATAATAACCTCAGACTAAAGTCTGTCTTCGTTAATAACCTCGATCCAAATGTTTTACTGCTTCTCTCCTTTACTCTAGAAGTTACTTCCTTTTAAATCTCTCTATTTTTTAAAATAATCATTAAAAGGGTTTAAATTTAAAAAAAATATGTGTAAATTACGTCCACTCGAATGCTTACGATGTTAATGTTTACAGGAAATGGATCATAAGTAAAAAAGGATTCACGCCATTTATGTGGGTTTAAATAGTGAATAATGTCTTCGCTATTAAGGGTGTGAATGCATTATAAGGCCAGATGGGGTTGAGGGTTGCGGATCGATGGAGAATTCTATGAAATTCTACGTTACGAAGTGTAATGTCTCGAGTTGTAATCTATTTCTAAGTTTAAATAGGTCAGAGAATGTAATTATTCACATTTAAAATGGCGATGTTTAGTAGTAGCTTTGAAATTAAAAATTTTTTTTGTTTTAATGTGGTATTTATGTATATTTTCTTAATGATGATTCTAGTAAAATTTGGATTGCTGTCAAATGGGGAAGCCGAAATTGCTTACATTGACGCGTTTTCGGAATGTTTTCTCCTTTCGTTAGCAATTCTGACTGAGTGGCTTGCCGACTCCAAAAGAATTGATCCTGGAAGTTTCTGTTCCGGGAGTGAAACATTTTGAGAGATTTAACTCTTTTCTTAGGTTGTGACTATGTAGATGCAAGCGAGCAAGAATATGTGGCGAGAAGAGTGTGAAACATATGTGTCTTGTTTATTACAAGAGTGCGAAACGTCATCACTTCTTCTCGTCAAGTATTCTTGCTCGCTCGGAAAATTCGCTCGCTCGCGTCTGCATACTTGCACCTTTACTCTTGGCGGTGTAAAAATACCATCTTCTAATCTGTTTTAAGTTGATTGTTCTGTCGAGTAAGTATGAGACGAATAAGCCTTGATTTGTAAAAATTTTCGCCAAATTCGGAGAGTTGGCGACCCTACGTATAGTGGTGACGGTTTTGTATTCCGGTAATCTTTGCCTCGAAGAGGTTGTAGTGTCTCTATAATCGAGAATTTATTGTTACGTCGTACAGGAATTTTGGAGACTCCTGCCAAATCCAATTGTGGATATCTACTGTTTACAAGTATATTAGATAGAGAAGGCTGCTTATCGGCAATCTGATGAGAAGAGATCTGGATAATTAAGCAAATTATAAGATTTTTAAACTGAATTGCTATTGAAAAATGTTTTCAGAAGTTACAGTATAATTTTTCACTATATAAGTCTTTAGGGCAAAGATTGCTAATTTCAATTGCTGATGATTGGACAATACAATCTAAGTGTTATAATGGAAACAATTGAAGGTGGTTTAATGATGTGAATTTACATATTTTTGCTTCTCTGTATGGTGGTAAAACAATATAAACATAAATATTTATTGCTTGATTAATTTATAATCCCAAAAGTGTTGACACTGGATTTATATGTAAATAAAAAAAAAAAAAACATTGAAAAGAAATACAGGATCTTATAAAAAGAATGCTACCATTTTAAATTATTGAAATTATATTTATTATTTGAGAATGTAATGTACAATAAAACGTTGGAACACTCCAAGTTTCACATTTGCCCGTTAAAATTTCTCCTCGTATATGTACAACCAACACTCTTAGTCTTCCTGCATACAGCATATCCCTAGTAACTCCTCCTACGGAAGCCACAATTCTACGGTTTGTGCAGATTACTTGTGTCGCACGATGGCAAGTGATACTGATTGAACTGCAGAGTGTGAAATACCTTCTCTGTTCTAGAGTCACCATTTTCGTTTACAATGCTTTCTAGAGGTAGTAGATAATAAGATGTTTGAATGCAGATGGGAGATGAAACTTGCCGTTTTACTATTGATTAATGTACCTTGCATAATTCTCAAATAATAATTAACATAATTACAGTAATTTAAAATGGTAGCATTCATTTTGGAAGACCCTGAATATTTTAAGTGGCAGAAAAAATATATTTTTAAGTTGAAACAATCTTATATCCTATTTTATAGCTTAGGTATAACTTTCTATAATTTAGCTGATTAGATCAAATTGGCTTATTTATCTGCTGAAATTTAATCGTGTTGATAAATATACGATGATTCTTTCAGACGTTTATATTTTTAATTATACGTCAAGAATTATTTTGGTTTAAAATGATTGTTGTTCGTATCTAAGAGCATAAACTATTAAGTTAAAGATTCTGTGTTGTTTTTAAGATGAATCAAAGCTAACAACATTGCTAAGCATTCAAAGCATTGGATAGCATAAATATGAGCAAAATAAGCAGCATAATTTAGAATCTAAAATTTGTTATTAAATTTGAATGTAAATTCACATTTTTATTATTGAATTTGTCTTATTTGAATGAATATTTTTGTAAATAATTGTCATATTACATGGAAATATTCAATAGTATGGCTCAATTAATCTAACACATGATTTTTGAATTGTTTTCCCACTTACAATATTTTACTTCTTATTTTTTGATCAAAATTAATTAATTGTGCAGTTATTCATATAAAAAAATTTCAATTAATAATGTATTTTTTGTTATAAAGAAATTAATAATCGGATTAACAGTTTATGAAACTACTTTATTACTAAAAAGACACTAAAAATTACTAAAAAGACACTAAACAATAAGGGTACTTTGGAATCTTCTGGTTCATCTTTGGGAATGCTCGACTAATAAATATTACATAAAACAAAAATTGGAATTTTAAAAATGTTTAAAATTCAAAATTGCTATAAATTGCATCCAAGTTCTAAGACTACAATCTTACGGTTTATCTGTTCATGTTTGAAATTCAGCAGTGATTTAAAGTGCTGTATCACAATTGATACATGAGGACTTCAGAGACAATAGTGCTGTGAAGATAGTCAAAGATGCAAGAGAAAAACCTCTATGAAATTAAAAATATACAGGTTTATGCAAATTTTTTTCCCATATAACCTGTGACTTCAAGTAAAAGATGATATTGGTGCAACTGTTGAAGTAATGAAACTTAGTGAATTATATTTTTTAAATGTATTATCAAACAGATGAGTTTTAGAGCATTCTTATGCTTGATTGGAGAAGTGTAGTTGATTAGGGAAAAATTGTGATCATAAACACAATACTAGTTTACATATGATTGTCCTTTCCATCATTTTTCTCTTAAGCTGGTTCCATACATTCAGTTTTCATTAATTGTCAAATAATTGTCTATTTATTCCCTTTTAAATTTGCCACAATATATTGACAAGGAGTGGGAAATGGCAAATATTAAATATTAGTTGAGTAAATCATCCACACTAGTATTTGTCAAATGTTTGCTCAGCATTTGACTAATACCAAATGTGTGGAGCCAGCTTTATACAGGATCTATCAAGAAAACGGGTGATTATAAATAGACAGTTATTCATTTTTGAATATTGTAAAACAAATTTTCATATACAGGATTTCAAAAAAGTATTTGCAACTTGTTTTGAAGTTGGCATCACACCATTGATCTTCGTTCACGTGCAAATATCTTTCGCATCTTTGAAATATGTCACGGTTAGAGTGGCACAGCATATCCCTGCATATGTTATTGATTGCATGATAAATTTTTGGTGTAAGAATTTCAATATTTTGTAGACAATCTTCATCTATATAACCTCTATTTATAATCACCTGCTTTCCTGCCAGACCCTGTAATGAAGATTAATGTTGGTTTGAAATTAGCAATTGAGAAATCTGGAAAATTTGAGATTAAAACAAAAACAAACCACTTAAATATGAGGAAACCAAAATATTTTCTAAATGAACGATTTCTACAAGGGTACTTCTGTTAATAATTATAAATTAATACTGACAAATTAGTTTGGATTAATTAAAAGAAAGCAAGGTAGTTATCAGGAAAGTTTCTCAAACATCAAATTCAAAAATGCTTTTGTTTAACAGAATCATAGAAATCACTCAAATGTTTTCAGGTTACAAATTCTCTTCATTCTCTTGTTTGGTGATTTTTAAATTATAGTCTGTGGACCACTGATGGTCTATGAACATGTTTCAGGTAGTCTATGGACTGACCTTATCATTTTTCTAACATGCAATTTTATACTGTTTAGTCACAGGATGTAATATTGGGTACATTCCAGTGTGCATCAAAGAGCAAATTGGTGAACTGTGATGTTCTAAAATATATTCCAAAATTCATTGACAAGTTCATTGATGCAGCAACCGGTGCACATTGTATTGCTTGGACTGTGAAATGGACTGTAATGAAGCAGTATGGCAGTCTCCACAGTTATATTATTAACACAATTTTTACCACTTGTCTGTATTGATAAAATAGGGTCTGCAAATGCCAATATGGTGCTTTTTATTTCTGCTGTCTTGCTAAGTTGACAGACATTCTGGTAAAAGCTTATTAAACTGTTCACTGGTGCTGCTAGCAACTGATACTAGAATGTATCCATTTTTATGCACAACTTTTCTTATGTTAAATAGATGCATGCCAAGATACCTTGTCTAAGTTGATTTTTACAGGATAATAAATGGGCAGGTGTAAGCTTGGTGTTAATGATTTGTAAATCATATACATATAACTGTGAGAAACTTGATGTCTAATGTACTGTGTAAACACTGGTTATTTCTAAGTTTTCTCTGAGAAAAATTTGTTGGATAAGGCAATATTTTTCTTTGCAAAAGACATTTGTATCTTGCAAGAGCTATAATCCAACCTTATAATAAAAAGTTAAAAGTAACTTACAGACCAGAAGCAATCTTTCGTGAGATATGGACTTTCAAACAAGGCCACTGGGTGCATACATGCTATGTTTTTCAAACTTTCAAAACTGCATCCTGGAAAGTCTA